GAATCCCACTCCTCAGAAATCCCACAGCCCAGGAATCCCACACCTTGGGAATCCCACCCCTTGGGAATCCCACACCCTGGGAATCCAACCCCCTGAGAATCCCACACCTTGGGAATGCCACACTTTGGGAATGCCACCCCTCAGGAATCCCACACCTTGGGAATCCCACACTCCGAGAATCCCACAGCCCGGGAATCCCACACTGGGAATCATACACCCTGGGAATCCCATCCCTTGGGAATCCCACCCCTTGGGAATCCCACACCCTGGGAGTCCCACCCCTTGGGAATGTCACACCTTAGGAATCCCATAGCCCAGGAATCCCACACCCTGGGAACCCCACACTGAGAATCCCACACCCTGGGAATCCTACACTGGGAATGCCACCCTGGGAATCCCACCCCTTGGGAATCCTACCCTTCAGAAATCTCACACTGGGAATTGCACACCCTGAGATTCCCACACCCTGAGAATCCCACAGCCCAGTAATCCCACAGCCTGGGAATCCCAGCCCTTGAGAATCCCACCTCCTGGGAATCCCACATTCTGAGAATCCCACACTCTGGGAATCCCACCCCTCGGAAATCCCACACTCTGAGAATCCCCACTCTGGGAATTCCCTCCCCAGGAATCTCCCCCCCTGGGAATCCCACCCCTTGGAAATCCCTCCCCCTGGGAATCCCACCCCGCGGGCAACCCCGCCAGCCTCCTCCAGCCTGGCACAGGCTGGGAACTGGGACGAGGCAGCAGCCAACCAAGCCCCCTCCGTCCTCTGCTCCCTCCCCTCGGCAGTGATCGAGAAGTTCACGGAGAACACCCGGTTCTGCCTCATCTGCAACTACCTGTCCCGGATCATCCCCGCCCTGCAGTCCCGCTGCACCCGCTTCCGCTTCGGGCCCCTCACCGCGGAGCTCATGGTGCCGCGGCTGCAGCACGTCATCCTGCACGAGGGGTCAGCGGGGCCCGGGGGCACCCTCCTCACCCCCCTCCCCCCCACGGAGCCGAGCTCCAGGCCGGCATTCCCGCGGCGTTCCCGCGGATCCGCCCGCCCGTGCAGCGCCGGTGTTGTTTTCCAGGGTGGATGTGACGGAGGACGGGCTGAAGGCCCTGGTGACCCTCTCGAGCGGGGACATGCGCAGGGCCCTCAACATCCTGCAGGTGGGACTGTGGCCTGGAGGGGCCTCCTCGTCCTTCCTCTGCATCCCTTTATCCCTCCTATATCCCTCCCCTCCCTCAGAGCACCTCCATGGCCTTCGGGAAGGTGACGGAGGAGAACGTCTACACGTGCACGGGACACCCCCTCAAGTCAGACATCGCCAACATCCTCGACTGGATGCTCAACCAGGACTTCTCCACTGCCTACCGAAGTATCCTTTGCCTTATTCCCTGCTGGGATAAATCCTGCTCTTTCCCAGGGCTCTCCATGCTGGGATATCCTGCTCTGGCTGGGGTGGGTGAAGTGTCCTTTGCCTTGAGGGTTATTCCCTGCTGGAATAAATCCTACTCTTTCCTGGGGATCTCCATCCTGCTCTGGCTGGGGTGGGTGAAGTGTCCTTTGCCTTGAGGGTTATTCCCTGCTGGAATAAATCCTACTCTTTCCTGGGGATCTCCATCCTGCTCTGGCTGGGGTGGGTGAAGTGTCCTCTGCCTTGAGGGTTATTCCCTGCTGGAATAAATCCTGCTCTTTCCCAAGGATCTCCATCCTGGGATGTCCTGCTCTGGCTGGGGTGGGGGAGGCTCGCTGGGGAGGCTCCTCGAGGCTGGCACAGGGATGAGGAGTGGGATCTGGCAGGGAAAAGCCTGGCAGCAAGGCCTTGACTCGCTGCCATCCCAGAAATCACGGAGCTGAAGACGCTGAAGGGCTTGGCCCTGCAGGACATCCTGACCGAGCTCCACCTCTTCGTGCACAGAGGTGGCACACGGGGGGCCCAGCTGAGCTGGGGGGGCCCAGCATCCCCCCCATTCCACACTGATGTGTCCCCTTCCCTCCCCAGTGGATTTCCCGCCCTCCATCCGCATCCAGCTGCTGATCAAGATGGCAGATATCGAGTAAGTGTCACCCCCCCTGCGCCAGGGTCCTGTGCCAGGGTCTTGGTGGGCACTGTGGCAGACCCCAGCCCTGCTCTGGGCTCTTTGGGGGGCACCCCCATGGGTGTAAACACCCTTGGCCCCTGCTCCAGGTACCGGCTGGCCGCTGGCACCAGCGAGAAGATCCAGCTGAGCTCCCTCATCGCTGCCTTCCAAGTCACCAGGGACCTGGTGGTGGCCGAAGCCTGAGTGGATCCTGGGCTTGGATCTCACTGGAGATGGGAGGGATGGAGCTGGAGCTGCTCCCTGCAGCTTTCCCTTCCCATTCTGGAAGCCTGGAGCCCACAGCCAGGACACAAGAGGGTTATTCCCAGGAAATACAGGTGCCTCTAAAGCCCAGCACGTTGCACTGGTCTTGCTTTTCCCTCCTGGGTTGGGGAACCACCAGCTTTGCGTGTTCAGGTGCTCACAAGGGAAAAAGAACCTCCTGGGAATGTCTGGAGGAGACATTCCCTGTCTTCCATCCCAGCCTGGACCAAGCCCTCCAGCACACAGGGAATGTGCTGCTCCAGCCACCAGCTGAGCTGGAGGAGGGGGAAAACCACCCAACACACCCCTGCTCCATGCTCAGCTTGCCCAGAGATCGGGCAGGTTGAGTGCCACGCTCCAGCAGGGAATAAAAACAAAGGAATGGGAGCTGGGGCTGGAGTGAAGCCTCGTGTCCCACCTGGACACCACCAGGGCACTCTGTGAGCCAGGACACGTGAGGAATCGTTCTTTATTTAGTCCACAGAGACCTGCCTGGGCTCGTCCAGCTCCTGCCCACGGTGGGAGAGCGGGACTGAGGGGCCATCCCGGGGCAGGAGGGTGTTCTGGGAGCGGCTCAGCTCCGAGTGACAACAGCCCCGCTCGGCCCTCACCCCACACCATTGCACTGGGAAGCAGAAGCACCTGACCCAACCCCTGCAGCCAGCGGGGACAGGGGGACCTGTGTCCCCTCCCAGCTCTGCCCCTCGCCCTCTGCACGTGTTTTTTGGCTGGGTTTTAGTAGTATTACACCGAAAAGATCCCTCCACGTCCCCACACACGGCCCCAAAAAGCGGGGGAGCGGCGACCCTGCTCCCACCCCCGGCTCACGGCTCGGCGTTCCTGCGGTGCCTCCGGCCCTGCCGCCGGGCACGGGGCCCTCACCTCCGTGCCTCCGCCCTCCCTGCCGCCTTAGAAAGTCCGGTAAGTGAGGAATTCCTTCAGCTTCCTGGGAATGGGCAGCGCCAGGACCTGGTAGGTGGTGAGGAAGGTGCGCAGAGCTTTGCGACACAAGTGCTTGAGCGAGGAGAGCACCCGCGGGGCCGTCCAGAACTGCACGTGGCCATCCCTGGTCCTGCAGCAGCATCCAACGAACCACGAGCACGGAGCAGAGAGTTCCAATTACCCCCAAAGATCCCGAGCTGGCCACAGCCCAGGAAAACCATCCTGCACCCCCAGGGAAGCCCGGAGTGGACCCGGAGCTGGGAGGAGGAGGGAGCAGCCTCTTGTTTCTCCGCCCTCTCCCCCTGTTTACTCACCCCGTGGCAATGAAACCTCCGTGAGGGAAGTAGATGCAGCACAGACCGTTGGTCATGGGGGCAAAGGCCACTGGAGAGCGAAGCTCCAACGCCCAGATCCTCAGGAGCCTGTGGAGAAAGGGAGGGGACACGATGCCAGGTCCACATTCACGCAGTGCCCGCTGCCAAAACAAAGCCTCTGGGATCACCCGAAGGCACAAACGCTGGAGGATTTGCTTCCCAGGGGTTTGAGTCTGTCCCCTGCACAGCAAGTGACATGCTGAGGGACACAGGAGGAGGACATGGGTCCTGGCTCGTTGCTCCAAGGGGTGACAGGGCCCTGGCCTTGCTACCCCTTGCCACAGCCAAGCTTGGGGATCCCAAGCTGCTGTTCCCAGCAGCCTGCCCTTTTCCCTGCTCCAGGAATTGGTGGGGACGCGGTACACGAGGTCTGTTCCCCACATCCTGAGCTCCTGGTTGGTTCTGGTCCCCTCCTGGGTCCCCAGGGGGGTTCACTCACCTGTCATCTGCCACCGTGGCCAGGTAGAGACCCTCTGGGGAGAAGCAGACGGAGCGCAGGGAGCTGGTGTGGATGTCACTGCTGTAATCCAGCGGGGAATGCAGGGGGACATGGCTGGGGGGGGGAGAACAGCCCAGTGTCAGCCCTGGGCTGCCAGGAGCCCCCTCCCCAGTGCTGCCAAGCCAGACCCCCATCCTGCCCCTGGGCTCTGGGGAGAGGGGGTGGCCATGCCCAGCTAGGAGGGAAAGGCACGTCCAGCCCTAAAAACCTCCACAACATCCAGCCCTAAAAATCCCCACGGCATTGTTCTACCCCATTTCATGGTGTCCCCCTGGCTCCATCCCACAGTGTAGAGGGGGTGGCCGTGCCCAGCCAGGAGGGAAGACCACATCCAGCCTAAAAATCCCCACAGCATTGTTCTGTCCCCTCCCATGGTGTTCTCCAGCTCTGCACCACAGCACAGAGGTGGTGGCCATGCCCAGCTAGGAGGGAAAGCCACATCCAGGGCTAAAAACCCCCATGGCATTGCTCTGCCCCCTCCCACAGTGTCCCCTGGCTCTGTACCACAGTAGAGAGACAGTGGCCATGCCCAGCTAGGAGGGAAAGCCACATCCAGCCCTAAAAACCTCCACAACATCCCGCCCTAAAAATCCCCACAGCATTGCTCTGCCCCCTCCCATGGTGTCCCCCTGGCTCCACCCCACAGTGTAGAGGGGGTGGCCATGCCCAGCTAGGAGGGAAAGCCACATCCAGCCCTAAAACCCTCTACAACATCCAGCCCTAAAAATCCCCACAACATCCAGTCCTAGAATTCCCCACAGCACTGCTCTGCCCCCTCCCACAGCGTGTCCCCCTCTCTGCACCACAACACAGAGATGGTGGCCGTCCCCAGCTAGGAGGGAAGGTCACACCCAGCCCTAAAAGCCCCCCTGGCATCCCCGTGCCCCCTCCCAGGGCGTCGCCCTCCCCGCACCGCAGGGTCCGGAGCTGCTCCCCGGTGTAGGGGTCCCACATGATGACACAGGCGTCGTAGGAGCCGGTGACGAGCAGCGCCGAGTCCGGGGAGAAGTCGCAGGACACGACACTGCTCTGGTGCCCCTCCAGCCTCCGGATCAGGGTGTAGGACCTCATGCTCCACAGCAGCGCCTGGGGGACAGCGACAGGGACAGGGATCGGGCTGGGCATCCTTCCAGGAAGGATATTGAGGTGCTGGAGCAGGTGCAGAGAAGAGCAGCGAGGCTGGGGAAGGGACTGGAGC